AGAATTTACATATATATATGTGTGTATATATGTATTTATATATACATACATACATGTAATTATAATTATAATTATATATATATATTTCTATATATAGTATGATTTATATATATTATGATTTATATATAGATATAATATTTTATATATTTCTATATACATATATATTTATACATACATATATTTATATATATATCAAATACATATTCATACATACAAATATACAAGTATATATATATATATATAAACATACACAGACACAGACACAGACACAGACACACATATATATATGTATATATATATATATAATTGCATGCAAATACCTGTAGTTCCTAACTCAAGAAACTATTATATGGTGGTTATGACAAGAGTTTGAATACTCATTATGTACATGAAAGTTTATATTGTTTACTGCAATAACAAGATTTGGCCGCTCATCTGTGCGATTTTTCACGATCTGCGTGCCACCGTTAAGATAAAAAGATATGTGCAGAGGCTGAGGAATTGCTCTGCGGCATGAGATCTCGCTTTTTCCAGCTGCAGCAACGCGTTCCGTTGGATCAGTTTTATAGGTACAATGATCTGTGGAAATGGTCTGCAATCCAGCTTGTGTTTTCCGCGGCACTCATTCAATTCACTCTCAGAGGAACGTTGATTAGTAGTGGAGAAATCGACCGATTGCTTTGCTGTAAGTATGTCTGGTATATTCATGCTGGTGTCCGAAGCATAGTAGGCCATACTACTTGCATTTTCATTATTCGAGCAGCACACCCCTCAAAAATATCCTCTTCATCCTCATGTTTTGATTAATCCGGCTTGTCTCTCTTTGTAGGCGCGATAGGTGACGAACAAACGACCGGAAAACACATAGACATAGAAGAATATCTACTGGGCTTGTGTCAGCTCTCACAATTTTTGGCGCGTCTAGCTGTGAATAGTGTTATAGCAGGTAAGCGGCCAGAACATTCTGCTGATCATAGAGTACTTAGGTGAACTGGTTGTGCGCGGTTAGAATTGGCGAGCTCGCCTAGAAAAAAGTATTCCAGTGACATATTGACTCGAAGCACTCTGCTATTATTGCTCGACCCAGGTAGACTTCAACGTCCAGCTGAGGTACTAGCCTTCCTATCTGAGCTTCTAGGCGCACTTATGGGCTTCTCCTTTCGAAATGATCAGCTCAGAAAACGATTTGACGGCATGAAGTACGATGTGATGAAAGTAGAAGAAGTAGTGTATGACCTTTCTGTCAGAGGTTTCCCGATTGTGTCCGCTGAAGCGGGTGCAACTGCTCTTGACCTAAAAAAGCGTCCCAAGGTTGAAACGTGAAATACTCGACTATTGTATTGCACAGCGCTGCATGCTTGCGTTGTCATAAAAAAAAGTTGTTTGGAAGTAACGAGTATTTGGTCAGCAGAATACTACACATTCTGTATAAGGGCAAATTCGTATTCAGACTGCATGACAACATGTGATTAGACTGCAGCAAAAGCATAATAGACTTTAATTGTGTCACCTCCGGTTGTAAGGCACATATCGATGATCCTTGCTCGTGTTCTTCTTTTTCCTCTTCTCGAGATAACGGTCCAATTCTCCTTTTTCTTTGAGTTGATTGAATTTTGCGACCATCTCGAGTTTCTTCTGTTCAGCTGCGGTGGAAAAAAGTTCTTTAATTTAAAATTCATGCTTGAAGTTTCAAACTATTAAACAATTTTACACGAGCAAGTAATGAACAGACAGTACATTATACACAAAACGAGCGAAAACGATACTTTTCTTGAGGTAGAAGGGATTTTTTCCTTTAGCCACGGCTGCTTCTTCGGCCTTACGGAATTTAGCTTTGAGTTCTTGCTTAGCTTTCTCGCGACGTTTCAATTCGTCGGATTGTTTCTGCGATTGAAGTAATATTTAAGCTGATTGGTATGTCGGTGACCCAAAATTCGCAAAACTACAACAGGCGTACAAATTATACGGTAAGCGACATTTCAACAGTGACACAATGGGGCAATGTAGCGCGAAGAAACACTATTTTGGCTAAACACATGGCGACAAATAAAATACGATAGTTGACAAGGTTGACGAAGTCATACACAAAATGTCCAGAGTACAGCGACTTATGAGCGTTTTACGTTGCGTATTCGTAATTCGTATTGTACTTTTCATTTCCCAACTTTCAATTAAATTTGAAAAATATTAAAATCAATAAACTAACCAACACTTGCAGGAACTTACAATTTTGCTTATAGTTAATTGAATTTCCTCGCGCTTGGCAGCATCTTTCTCCTTCTTGAATTGTGCTTGCAACTCCTTCAGCTCTTCTGCACGATATTCGTCTAAGAAGCCGTAGGCCTTTTGCCATAAATCACTGTTATACGCTCCAGACAAATCATCAAATCTGGGGTCTCGCGACTTTGTATTTTTAACTTCCACCACCTTTCTCAGCCTTGTGACAGTGGTCTTTGAAGACATCTCTCTAGGTGCATTTTTACTTGTCCGCTTGGTAGAGCTATTTAGCTCGTCAGTTAAATTCTTCTTCGCTTTCCCTCCAAGATTTGTAACTATTTTACTAGTATGACTACTCGCCTCATCGATATTATTATCACTCGTGCTAGGTTTAGCAACAGACGCATATAAAACTTTAAACTTCTGCATGCCAATTCGGTCTCTCAAGGCTTGTAGCTCAACAAACGGCATAGAATCCAATTCAGTCCTCAACCTTTCTACCGCCTCTTCCTCTAGATTGATTTCTTCGGGTTCATCGCTCGAATCGACAGTGTCGATGTATGTATATCTCGTTTGCTGAGATTCATTCGCCATGATATTTACTTCCGAGTTCGCGTTCGCTAAGTTGTGAGTTGTGACACGGAGAGTTGCGACAGGAAATATGGTATTTTTATTATAAAAAGAAAGTAATTGTATATGATACAGGTAAATATTACGAAATTGTCACCTGCTCTAGTCGACCTGGATAGTACGTAGTCCGGAAAATTTTAGCATGGGTCTATATTTTTTCACACATGTAAATATTGAATTCCGGTAATAAGCTATAAAGCACTTTTGTAATTTTAGTCAAAGCATATGTGTGTGAAGCAAATTGAAATATTCATCCAACAGGAGGGCCGAGGCATAGCCTTATTCAGTGCTTAGCCTCCTATAAAGACAGTCGAGGGTCTATAAGATAATTGGTTCGCATTCGATCCCTTCTTGTAAAACAGTTTATACACCCATTCGCAATGGTCACAAGCGCACAGCCGCACACACTAAGAATCAAGGATAAGGATGTGGTCTATGACGTGCACTCGGATGGGAAGGACGTTATCCATGCGGCATGGGAGGGTGTTTCCCCAGCCACGCAACTGGCGCGTATCAACCTGATCACACAGGGTTTGTCGTTTGCCCGGTCAAGTAACTTTCGAACGGAGAAAAATAAGAATTGGTCGTCAAGGTTGACTGTGGCTGATGCATGGGGTACCGCCCGTTATCAGCAGCAGGAGGCTGATGATGGCCCGGTGGCAGGGCAGTGTGCTCTCCAGGGAGCGGCCTCGCTTTTGTGAGGTTCAGATGCCAAGAGGCATGCCTTCGGCATGGCTGGCGGCTGGTGAAGTTTGCGACGAGAGTGAGGCGCGGGTAGGGTGCGTGAAGAGCGTGTAGAGCGAGTGCAGGCTGGCAACGGATCAAAGGGCGCGGCAGGCGTACCTCTGTTCGGTGGCCTAACCCCTGCGTTGGGCGCGGTAGCCAGGAGGTAAGGTCTAGGGCTTTTGTCCTGGCCGCAGGTCTCAGATTTTTGAGAACATCAAAATGTGTCACTGTAAAACACAGTGAACATTTTGAGACCAGTGCTAGTAGACCATGGTCTTACTAATCAAAGAAATATTGTCTAGCTGGCATTAGGCCTAAGTGTTCAGAGATTAAGTTATATGGTCGATACCACTATATATATATATATATATATATATATGTATATATATATATATATACGTATATATATATATATATATATATCTATCTATCTATCTATATCTATCTATCTATCTATCTATCTAGCTATGTATCTATCAATCTATCTATATATCCATCTATGTATGTATGTATGTATGTATGTATGTATGTATGTATGTATGTATGTATGTATGCATGCATTATGTGCGTGCGTGCGTGTGTGTGTGTGTGTGTGTGTTGTATATATTTATATATATATATATATGTGTGTGTATGTATTCAGATACAGTCTTGATACGTTCTTTATATGATAAGTCCTCTCACGATTAAGTTACAGCTTGCTTGTTAAATAACATCAATTTGTCAGGATATGTTTTACGCGAACGTCCAAAATCATGCAATCTTATTAACTGATAGCAGTTATATAAGCATGATTTTCTAGTATACAGGTTACCGTAAGCTTCATTTTTCGTCTATTCACGGTTCTTTGCCTGTGTATACAATAACATCTGTCGTTAATGTATTACAACACAAATGTGGATGGTCATAGGGGGTTCAACCTATATCGCAACGGTACTGATGATATATTAATATTAAGTTATGTGGATTATCTTTCTGATTGTCGCTTCAATTATTGATGTCGTATGCCCCGTTTCATATTGTAATGTATAATCATATGCTTCCTCTATCGTACCAGTCCCCTCGAGATATCAAATACAATCTCCGTGCAATAGAAGGAGGCAAAGGGTAAGGAATCTCATTGTGACGATCTTGAACATTGCCTCGAATCAGCGATTTCGTAGTTAGTATTCTTTTGCCTATGGATATCGATGTATAATGCAGGTGAATGGCGATCAAGTTTAATGAGTCGAGCAGCCCCAACAAGTACATTATCAAAGCGATACTAAGTACAGTGCCAATATCAATGATCTTTGAAATCCTTATATAGCCATCAGCTGTGAACATGACACGGAACAACTGTTTACTGTATTTATTTTCTTCCGCTGATACGATAAATCTGAGAATCTCAAGGCAGGTCTTTCATTTAATCGTGTCAGCCAAGAAGTCCGTCTGTACCGGGGTTCCTTTCCAGATAGAAAACTATCTATAAATTTAAAATACTGTCGAGCTCACTAAAAGTGTCGTTTACATTCCCTTTGTCTTTCATAAAGAACACTGCAATCAGAGCATCGGTGAAAATGAGAAAATGCGGGGCAATGTAATGCTTGAAACATGGAAGATAGTTGTAATTCTCAACGATGAATTTTCTGAATTAATGACGTCGTATTCCTGCGTAGTATCTGTGGAACCATAAAAAAGAATATTACCGATCGATGTTGGCTCTGACGTATGGACAAAGATTTCTGGGCAGGCGACGCTATATGCTTCGATGACGTAATTACCGACCGGACTTAACGATATGCCGTTGAACGAAGCTATACTTCGACCACTTTTCAGATCTGGCACAAGTCTTTTCGTTAGCACCCCTTCAACATCCGGATCACCTTGAAAAGCTAAGGAAATTTCGTCTTCACATCTACACGAAAAGTTGCATAATTTACGGTTGTTTCAGAAGTTAGCCAGACTGGTGTTGCACATATCGTTGGCTGCAAATGCGTCAGTGAGAAAATCTCGTACTTCGCAACTTACCCTGCGTCACCTATGACCGTGAATTCAGGTAGACGTTTGCCTTCTGGATGGAAGCGGATTGGTGCGACACCGAAGTCTAAGCTCGTCAGCCGATTTTCTGCAAATAGATTAGTAACAGTTGAAGTTGGCTTGTGATTCTTACAGCTTCTAATATAATTCAAATATGATCCCATGGCATTCATTCCAAGACAATCTCGAGATGATATTTATCTCAATACGAGATGTGGCTTATCCAAGAAAAGTGCCCAGACGAAAAGTGCCCAGACCTTCAATTCTTGCCGCCTTCAATGCTTCAGTAACTTTCGCAACATCCTGCGCATTTCCCCGACATAGCCGCTTGACATCGGCATCATTTACCATCCAAAGATCCTTTACTTGCACAAATCCCATGTTAATGAAGTCATTGAATCTATGCATGAGCTGGAATTGCTTCAGCAGATCTCTCAGTTTGCTGTCTGTGGTGATACGGATTCAACACGTTTGTCCGATTTCAGTTCGCTTATAGAAATTATGTATGCACATAAGCACCAATTACAATTCGAATGATCATTTTGTCTCTGCAGTTTCTCAACAAATTATACATTCACTCCCTCACCGAGACCAAAGAAGCCTATTCCATTCCAGCAAGTACTGTAACCACCATGGTTTGAATTGACAACAAGCTTGATTAACCGGCTTTTTATCTTAAGCCCTTTAAAATCTTGGTTGTCACCTCGTCCAGCATTGTAGGAATCCATTCCTTTTTGCTCAGCAGTAAAGACCTAAAAGAAAAGTTCATAGTTCGGTACATAATGATTCGTTTGTAAAATGGTCTGCTTCCTAACGTAAAGAAATATAGCATGGAATCATCATCAATGTGTTGGCAAATCACAAGTACATACCCTGCAAATCGTCCAAGGGCCGTCTACGCTGTCTGCCGTCTCGAGGGTAAATTCCTTTAGCATATTTGGTGAAGAGTTCCCGCAAATTCGTATGCCCGATATGAGAAAATCTCTACCAAAGTCGAACACTATGAAATTACTGGCATCATGCCGCATTGTCATTTCCAAGTACGTCTGGATTGGAGTTAGGATCAATTGAACACGGACATTGATTTAAAAACTGACTGTGGTCCATGCAAGGAAATTGTATAGCGATACGCAGGTGATGGCGACAAGAACAGTAAAAAAGCTGTAAAGTACATTTCAATTTTCAAATACAAGTTCATTTTAAGATTGATTACCTTATCATTGCCATCCACCAGTGCATAAGCATTGTTCGAGTTACTTTTAGTGGAGCACATGTTTGGTTCGGTAGAGCACCACGCCAATTTGCTATGTAGCAGGGGCCAATCAGCTAAATTGAATTGAGAAAGGTGCCAAAATGAATTAAATAAAAACAAACATCAAACTAAGTTACACGACACTCAAACACCAATTTATCGATTCTTCTCATCTATTGCAAAAGTAACATACCACAGGTGTGGTCGGCGACGATTTTGGTCCCGTATGTTATTGTCGGCACGAAGGCTTGAATTTCATCACAATCTGCGATCGGTAAACATCACCCGTATTTATGATCATGTAGCATACATAATATAGCAGAATCTTGAGGGATGCGGACAAGTCCGAGACAATGTAAATTTACTAGCTCGTAAGCATAGTAAAAGAAACAGACATGCCTTACTCGCTTACTTTTGAGAATCGTCTGAATAGCCGGGAAAGGTATAGCTAGATCGGATGGTCTTTGTTTGTTGCTATTCACTTTGTCCAAACTAGCGCCGTGCTGCAGTACAATACGAAACATCTTTAAATTTCATATCAACTTCCGCTGTTGTAGTGTAGCAATATGTAAGAGTGACTCCATCTCATATTATTAGAAGCGTGAAAAAATAATAATTTGATGTTGCATAGGGAGGAATGAATAAAGTACAAACCTGTAGTAAGAGTCGAACCATATCCGGTTGATTTGTTCGAATAGCGATATGTAAAGGTGTCTCCCCGCTCTCATCATCGGCGTACGTTACGGTGGCAGACATGCCTGCCTCGAGAAGTAACCTAGCTACTTCTAGGTCTTTGCATCTGATAGCCTCGAATAGAGACCGAATTGACCGTAACATCTGTAAGTAAAAGTGGTGCAAGATTTGGTCATTCAATTTTACTTTTATTATTCAGTCGCGCCGCAAGATCTTCGCTAATAAGATTGGAATCTCGGTCAAAATCATGCATTGCCCTAACAACACTACAGCTTGTGTCGAAACTTATTTTATATAAGCTGGACACGAAGCGAATAATCAATTGCGTTCAAATGGTAATCTACTTATGTTACAGTGGTAGCGTCCAAATAATGCCAGCGCTTTCAGTACACGTTTAGTCAAACTGTATCATCGGACATAAACAAGAATGTGGGGAATGTTAAAGATACTTAAGGTATTCTAAATATGAGTACGCAGTCGAACGACAGCTACAACCGATATATATATATACATACATACAAATAACATTAGATTATGTAAAGATTAGATAAGTATATATAGCTTGATGAATGAATGAGCCTATCCTATGTACATGCCGTTCATACTCCATGTACAATAGAGAAATCACATACAAAAACAATAATATAATAATATAATAATATAATAATATAATAATATATATATATAGATATGTATATATATATAAATATATATATATATAATAATATAATATATATATAGAATATGTACATAAAG